TAAAAAAATATTATCCAAGGGGTAGGGAAGGGGGTGGAGGGAAGAGGGGGGAGGAATTGCCTAAGAAGAAAGGGAAGGGTGGGCAAGATGAAGATTAGACTCTGTCCCTGCTATGCAGTCAAAACTCTAGAAAAAAAAATCTTTTTTCTTCTTCATTCTGCCTTCCCAAAAAACACCCAAAAGGTGAGTGCCTTACTTGAGTGGGATATGGTATGTGAGCAAATATTAGGGATGTGGGATTTTGCTTTGCTTTTAAAAGTAGTATTAGATTTGAAATTATCTGTACTGTTTATTAAGGTTATCCAACACTTCCTATTAGGAAGACCCAGCTTTCCATTATTTGTAACCTTGCCAAACTCATTATTAGTATGAAATATTACATGCTGGATTCTCCTTCAGGCTGAATTCCTTCAGGAAAGTTTCAGACAAAAAGATCAGCTGTTTTCACGCATAAGCTAAAGGAAATAAATGGTTTGCATATATTAAATTCCGGTCATATTTCTTTAATATGCTCTGGCTTCCTCATGCTTTGAAGCAGGGACTTGAAATATGCCAGAGAAGTGCCTTTACCTCTGTCAAAATCTGCTCAAAACTCAACAAGTTAAAAGCCTCTGAAAGCTTCAGTTTGCAGACTGAGCAGCAGACTACAGAGAATACAGCTACTTAAAAAGGAACGCTAAGCCCACACTCCAAAGATGCCTCCTTCAGCGAGCGTACTCCAACTGTCTCTCACCGTTCCCATCTCTGATCCAGTGCCATGCTCCATTCCCTCACATTGCCTGGTCCTGACCAGGCTGTGTGTGCACAGAGTAACTGAGTATAGGCTATGGGACCAAAGCAAACATTCCCTGTCATGGTTCTTCCAACTGTACTGGGCCAGGCACCAGGAGTAAAATATGCAAGTTTATCTTACTTATACCCTTAATAGTCCACTGGCTGCAACCTAGGCAGCACAAAGGAGGAAATCCTAATCAAAATCAAAGGCAGAAGGGAGAAAGGTCAGAAGAGGAATGAAGAAAAAGAACAGACTGGGAAAAAACTGTTTGGAGAAACTGAGAAAACAAAGGAGAATTGGGAGAGTGGGACTTGGTTCATCAGTCAAATAAAAAGCTAGATATTTGTGCTGGGCAACTGGGAGACAGCTAGCAGGTAAGACCTTTGCTACCTGAGAAAATGTGGAATGCAGTTTGGGATTTTGGTATAAGCACCTGAGGCTAATGGGAGAGGGTTCTCTACTCAAAGATGGGGAGAAATGACTGAAAGTAGAAGGAGACAATTCCAAAGGCACAGCTCCATTAGATGAGGATCTATTGCTGAAATGAGAGGCAAAAGCCATCATAAACAGATCTCAACTGCTCTTTACCCAGCTGCCAAAAGTTTCCTCTTCCTTCCACAAGTTTTGTCAGAGCTGATATCAATGTATAAACCATGCACACAGTGACTTCATACTTAACCATTTAGACTTTAACATTAAATATATATAGGAAATGTAACAGCCTGCTTAGGGTCTGGGTTCAGACTGCACTAAAGTCCAATTATGAGGAATTAGATTCACATGTCGGTTATATGTTGGAAGAAAAAGGAGGAGTTTTTTGTTCATTTTACAAAACCCATGACCGTTAGCCATCTTAAAATGGAAACTGACCAATACATGTACTCCAGAAGAGAGTGATCATGTGGGAACTCTTTCACTGTAGTTTTGCCAGAATAATTATTTTGGTTTGCTTTGGAAGCAGAGTAATTAATCTAGAATAGAATGTCCAAAATGGAGAGCTATTCCAGAATGACCAATACACAGATGGTGCAGATTAAGTTAATTTCTCCAAAGTAGATAAGACCAAATGTACTTGGATATTGTGAGATTTGGGTTGTAATGCACTGGACAGAGATTGCAGATATTTAATGTTATCTTAACTGGTAGTCCTTTTGGTGCATTAACACAGTACATATGAATCTTGTTACCTCTTGTCAATTTAAAGGGTTCTTGCATGGAATATGTTTACATATCTGAATTAACACTTTAACTTAAAAAGAGTCATCTCCTCATTAAACACACCTAACATTTAGTTTACATGTGCTGAAGAATGAATAGGTAGCATTAAACCTCCTTCCTGCATACATCTCCATCTGTTTTTCTTAACAGAAGGCACAGAATTTGTAGCACTGAGAACCACAACAGTGCCTTACCAAGAGCATGGGTGGGAATAATATTAAATCTGCATGTGCAAGATCTGTCTCAAGATACAGTTAGAATTTTACCAAACTTAGCACATAAACCATAGAAGAAAGTTAGCTGTATTTCAGAGAGAATGTGCTGAACCTGGACCAATGACGGAAAAACCAAATAGCAGATATTAGTGAAATGCTGAAACAGAGGAGCGCTTACTGATGAGCCAGAGGAGTAACTTCCCTATATTGCAGACTGAGAAGAGAAGTAACTTAACTAGGCTCATATATAAAACTGTAGCAGACCTAAGTAATCTACCCAGATTTCTTGAATCCTATTCCAACACCTTTTCCACAAGGCTGTCTTTAAGGAGGGGAGAACCACATTCCACACCTTAAGGCTGCTGGAGGGATAAGGTAACAGTTGTAAAGCATTTAAAGACTACTATACTGTGTACCATAAGAATACATATAGACACAAGGCAGAAATACATTTGACTATAAAACTTACGTTCATCTGCCAATATATTAAAAAAAAAAAAAAAAACAGTAAAAAAAAAAAACCACTTTCCCCAAACCAAACTGCAATTAGCCTGTGGAACTCATTACCACTAAATACCCATTAGATCCAGAGTTTAACAAGATCCAAAACAGCACCAGACACTTTGTATTGGGAACAATAATATGCAGGGACAGAACTAAATTATAACTGTATTTACTCAAATATGAGACAAGGTTCCCCCCACCCCAATCACCATGGGGGAAAAAAAGCCCCTCATCTTATATTCACATACAAGGAAACCACATTAAATACACTGTCTATCTTTGAACTGCTGCTAAAAGCAGCATGTGCTCAGCAATGGAAAACAATTAGTAAGCTGATAAAACACAGCCAACACTGAGCATGACATGAAGTACATGGCCCATACTGGGCAAACATGCTGATAGGCACCCTTTTTTTTCTCATGGTACTTAAAAAAGGGCAGTTGCTCCCCCAGGAGAAAATGAGTATCAGGCCAAGTACTACATTACCAGGCTATCACTCAGAGAGGCAAGTTCAGACACCCGCCCCTAGTGTCAAAAATGCTGGAACCTTTTTTTTTGTAAAAATGTCATACACACAACCCTTCTAGTCACTGTTCATTACCTCTATATCCATCATCACTCTCTGATGAAAGGATGCCATTAAACTATGCTACACAGTTTGTACTATATAAAGGTACATGCCAAAGTGCTACTTTAACCTGCGTTTATGGAGAACCTGTGCTAAAACTTGCAGCAGTTTAAAAAAAAAAAGGTAAATCGTGTCCAGTCAGAGTGAACTAAATCTATGGGTACTATATGTAAACTATTACAGCTATGTATATTTCAAGGTCAGCTTTTTCAGATTTGCCTCTCACTTCTATGTGCTCAGGGAAAGCAGGGTCTGACAATAAGAAGAAAAGGACTACAAGGAGAAGAAGCTGGAGTGGGGCCAGAGGGCAAAGGGACTACCTGACCACAGAGATTTTTTTCTCCACTATAGCAGTGGACGGGGGGTAAACTCAAGACAAACCTCCAATAATTAGATTCTATACCTGGAAAATTATACCAGATTTATACATTTTCCATATATAAACTCTAATCATTGGGAAATTGTCTTGTATTTGAGTAAATATGGTAGTAAGACTCTGAGGAGGAACAGAATCTCTCGTACTTCAGAACAAAAGCCAGGTACAAGAACCACTGGGATTAGGAGAAAACCTTCCTGGGCGGGTGCAAATTATTCTGATGTGGACTATAGGTTTCCTCTGAGAAAGTAGCCATTACTGACCACTGTACAAGCCAGGGCATTTGATTAGAAGGACCACTAATTCCTGTGTTCTCTTGAAATATTAATTGTGGTATTATTGATTTCTGAACAGTTAACCTTTACTGTATTCCCCTGTATAAGACTAACTAGTCCCCCAAAGATAAAATGGTGGGGAAAGTTTTAAACAATTCTGACTGAATTTTTCCATTTTTAATACAACGTCAAATACTTTTCACAATATTTCATACTACATACCTGAATCATCAGCCAACCTGCTGATTCGCTCCAACACAGCAATACAATCTCTTTCATCATCACTGACTTCTTTCAAAGTATCCAGCAAACTTCGAGCCACCATTTGCCTAGTTAAGGAAAAAATAAATATCAGTTTTTGGAAGAAGCAATAGTCCAGTTTTGTTTAGTCAACATTTAGAGGGCTGAGAAGTCTCTTAGCAACCCTGGAAAATGAATTTAAATAGTTAATAATGTTAACTGAAATAGCTTTAGGAATACTGAAGGATTTTCAGGAGCTATAATAAATACCAAAGTGGACATTAAATGTAAAAACTCCAAAAAACATTGGGAGTCTACAACTTTCAGTTTACATGGGCAAGACTACAATTACTCTATCTTTGGAAGAGTAGTCAACATTAGATTTCCACCCAACTATGAATTACTTACTAAGATGAGGAAAACCAAGGCAATTCTGTCAGTGTTAATCATTTTTGTATGAAACTATGGTTTTATTTTCACATATGAAAATATGAGAACCCCAACTGATTATATTCAAAACAAAAGGTAAGCCACAAAAAAACCTAACGTCCTTCTTTCATGCCTATCTAAGCCATATACAGGCACTGTGAAAACAACACATGTACAGCTGTTCATATAGAAAACAAGTATGACATTAAGGTAAATCAAAACCATCTTTACGATCTTTAATTTATGTGAAATTTGTCTAAGGATAACAAGTCAAATTGATATTGGAACCATTAATTATAAGAGAAATTCAGAAGACTAGTTCCTGTCCACAACAAGTTCTAATCAGAACTGTAACCTGTTAGTGCTATGGGAGGCTCTAAATACAGTCTTCAGATATCATAGTTATTCACTAGTCAGTAATCATTTGAGCCATCAGCTTTTCCTTTTGTCAGATGCCTATATTGTCATGATTCTCTCTCCAAAACCATCTTGCTCGATATTTGGACAATGAAACAAGGCGGTGAGGGGACGGGAAGCAAAGAACCTAAATCACCAGTTTTGTGGACACCTCTATTCTCTACACACAGACCACCGGCTCCCATATAACTGGCTAGGCAAGTACCCCTCCATGTTAATGGCTCTTCCTGTGGGTCCTTCAGACAAGTCATCACATCATTTAATCAGGAAAGGATGAATGCCCAGCTAGAATGGACTAATAAGCAGTATTAGAAAGTAGGCATAGCATAGGGTTGCCATATTTCCAGTTTCAAAAAGAGGACACCTGTGGGGGAAGAGGGGTGTAATATGATGGGGTGGGCAGTGATATACCCATGTCCTGCCTCTGCCCCGACACCCAAATCACAGCCCCCCCATCCCTGCTGCTGCCCCTCACTCCCAAACCACAGTACCCTGCCCTCCAAGGCCATACTAGTACCCTTCACTCCCAACACACAGCCCTGCCACCCCGGCAGACACCCACCCCCCTTGAACACACACACGCAAGCCCGGGTCTTACCTGCCTACAGCTGCCAGGGCTTGCAAGCAAATGCACATGATGCCCCTCTGTGGCTACCCCCAGCCCCAAGCAGTTCCTTGCTGGAGCAAGCCAGGGAGTGCCAGGAAAGCAGAGGCAGATCAAAATCCTGGACATTTGCTGATACTTAAAAACAAACAAACAAACAAAAAACACCTGGAGGGAGGTGGAGGGACCCAAAAAGATGACATGTCTGGGAAAAACTGGACGTATGGTAACCCTAGCATAGCACAAGCATTGTTGGCAAATTGCAGTGCCATCATAAAGAGCACCTTTGGGGCTGAACTCGAATATCTTCCGAGGTCCCTTCCAGCCCTAATGTCTATGAAATCTGTGAATGCAACTCCAACATGTTCATTAAAATTGTGGCTCACATGCAAGCACCCAAAATGCCTTGTGTTTCTGGATCAGCAACCCCTGGCACGTGTGCCGTACACGAGGCCATTTTGCTCGGCATGCCACGGCTGGCCTGGACTCTGAGCAGCTGCTGCCAGCCATGGAGCACAGGCTGCCCCCAGCAGGCAGCTGGGAGGCTGCAAACCCTACTGCAAACAGCCCAAGAAGCTCCATGGCTGACAGCAGCTACCCAGAGCCTGGGCCAGTTGCAGGGACAGAGCCAGCCTCTTCCCAGTGGGGGAGCTATGAAGGAGCTGCGCTGTGGGCAGAAGCAGGGCAGGCTCAGCTGCGTGATTCAGGCAGTAGCAGCCTGGGCAGTGCTAAAGGGGTGGCTACTGGGGGAGGGTGCGGGGGGAGAGTTGAAATGAATTTTGTGGTGGCTATAGCCCCCCCCAAGCACCGCCCCAGCCAGGCTTTGTGCCAGCAACAGCTGCATGCACCCCTTTGGGAGGACAGCATGGGAGGGGCAGTGCAACCCCAGAGCTGCTACCAGGATTCCGGAGTCCCAGCAACTCCAGAGTCCTGTGTGCTAGCAGCAACTGCATATGCGCCTTGGGGTGCAGGGTTGGGGAGGTGCTGGGGCAGATGATGAGGGAGAGGCCTGAGGTTTCACTGCCTCAGGCCCCTCCCCTGCCATCTGCCCAGACGAGTGTGCGCAGCCACCACTAGCAGAAAGCCTGTCTGGGGCTCTAGAGCCCACAGGGACAGTGCTAGGGTGAGTTGGGGGTGGGGACTATAGCCACCCCAAAATTCAACTTAGCGCCCCCACAGCCACCCTTTCAGTGCCATCTGCCCTACTCTGAGCCCAGCCTCGGCCAGGAGCACCGCACCTATGTGGGCTCAGCTGCACAGGACAGGTGGCAGCCACAGTGGGAGGGGTGGCTATGGGGAGGGCTAAGTCAAATTTTGAGGTGGTTAACTCCCCCCTAGCACTGCCCCTGCATCTGGCTGATGGATGGGCTTCAGGCCAGGGCCTTGGCAAGCTATGCTGCAGCTCAAGGGCTGGCTCCCCAGGGAAGCACCGGGGCTGTGGTGGGCCCAGGGCATCATCAGGTTGGTCTTTGTCCTGCTACACAGCCTCCCAGGTGCATGTGCATGTGTGTGCACGCACGTGCATGTCTAGTTCTGTATGCATGTGTGTGTGTGCATGCATGTGTGTGTCTGTGACTGTGTATCTCTGTGTGCATGTGCATCTGTTTGCCTACATGCGTGTCTGTCTGCACGCACGCACACATCTGGTTCTGGGTGCGCACGCACACATCTGGTTCTGGGTGCGCACGCACACATCTGGTTCTGGGTGCGCACGCACACGTGTGCAGTTCTCTCTCTCTCCTTTTTCTCTATCTCTTTTTCTCTTTAATTTTCTCTCTCATCACAACATGCTTAACAAAAAAAAAATACACAACAACAAAAGTAGTATATGAAGTTTTACTTACTGTCACCAGGTTTAGAATGTTTACAAATCCTGTTTTTACAATACAAAAACAAAAAAACCCCAACCTTTATTATTATTAACTATATTAATAGGCAATAAGTCCTGCCACATACCCTCACCCCCGTTTTGTTTTTCTGGCATGCCAGCACTCCAGAACCTTACAAGGTAGACACTGCACCTTTTTTGGCACTCCGGCCAAAAACGTTGCCTACCTCTGTCCTATCAGAATGCATCGAGCTCCATCCCAGCAAGTCTTTGTCCCTATGCTTGAAGCATCCCTCTCAGTGCAAGTGAAGCGGTCTTCAGTGTATGGATGTAAATATAGTTTTAAAAAATGTTAGTTTAACCTCCTCTAATTATATTGGCCAAACAATTAACTGATAACACAGCAGCTCAGACACAGCTGCTGCTGGGAGCCACTCCTGGCTCCTGGAGCCCTTTGACTAGGGGAAGAATGGGAGAAAGCAAGCCCAATCAGACAACACAGCCCACTGGAGGGAGCACCTGTGAATGAGCAGCTCACTGCTTAATTAACAAGTCATCATTAGGCTGCTGGCTGTTTTTCTCTTAAACTATGGATACTAGTTGCCATGGGTGACTGGTCCACATACCCCCCCCCCGGGGGGGGGGGGGGGGGGG